TTCAGGTCTCGAGAATGAATTTGATTTCAGATTTTTTATTATATGTATCAGGAAGAAAAAAGGTTTTTTCTAGTTTTGTTGATGATGGCTTTAGGCTCATCAAATTGGATTTAAGACTCATCAGATTTGATTTCTAGTTTCCATGTTCATAAACGAAAATGAACTATGTATGATTTATAATTTGCTTGTATTGTGATTGAATTGTACTTGGTTTGATTGTATTTATTGGTGGTTTGCCCATATATGAAGTTTGGATGGAAATGAACCGTAACGGAAGAAGCGGGTGAGGGGTGGTTTGGGTGGGGAAGTAAAGGGTAGTGGGACCATTAGATATTATTAAGTTATATAATTATTTATATAAGAAATAAATAAAATATAAAATAATTTAGTAAGGGTAAAATAGTTTTTTCATCTCTGATTGAGACCGAAGGCCCAACAAAAACATATTATAAGGAACTTTGAGTGGATAAAAAAAATTAAAATAAAGAATAAAATCTAATGTGAGTGATATGTACTTTCTAACGTGAGTAAATATTAATAGATATATTGTGAAGTTAAGGTGATATTGATATGGCTTACTTTTTTAATAAATACTTTGTAACACACTCCTTATAGCCTAAAGCTATGTTTGACGTACTAGCTGAAAAGCTAGCTGTTAGCTAAAAAGCTAGCTGATAGCTGAAAAACTAGTTGTTAAATAAAAAGTTAGCTGATAGCTGAAAAACTAACTGATAAAAAATGATGTTTGGTAAAAATAGTTGAAAAGCTAGCTGAAATATAAAATTACATAAAAGGACATTTAAGAGTATTTGTTTCTATAATTAATTAAGGGGTATATTTGAAATTTTTTAAAAAAGCTCCTAAAAGGCTAGTCTAAGGCTATGTTTGGTGGACTAGCTGAAAAGCTAGCTGTTAGCTGAAAAGCTAGCTGATGGCTGAAAAACTAGTTGTTAAATAAAAAGTTAGCTGATAGCTGAAAAACTAGCTGATAAAAAATAACTTTTGATAAAACTAGCTAAAAAGCTAGCTGAAATATATAAAATTACATAAAAGGACATGTAAGAGTAAGTATTTCTATAATTAATTAAGAGGTGTCTTTGAAAAATTTTTAAAAAGCTCCTAAAAAGCTAGTATAAGTAGCTTTTCAAAAAGCTAACTTACAAGCTAACTTATAAGCTTTTTTTTTTTGCTTATCAAACACGACAATATAAAAAGCTCGAAAAATAAGTTAGTTTATCAGCTAGTTGTGACGCGCCAAACACAGCCTAAGTAGCTTTTCAAAAAGCTAGCTTATAGGCTACTTTTTGGCTTGTCAAACACAACAACATAAAAAAACTCGAAAAATAAATTAGTTTATCAACTAGCTGAGGCGCACCAAACACAACCTAATAATAGCTCGTGTCAGATCCCCTGTTAATAATAATAATAATATAATTCTTAACTTTTGATAACCCAAATAAACTTTTGTAATTCACTTTTCAATTAATTGACTTTATTTGTAGTTATATGTTTATAACAACATGTACATGATTTTGTGTGGATTTTGTTTAGTATTTTATATGTACATGATTTTGTGTGGATTTTGTTTAGTATTTTATATATAGATGATGTTGCACATGTTCCCTTCTTTGAATAATAACCCCCATATGCACCCAACTCAACCACTCTTTCAAATCTCTTTCTCTCTCTATCGCTCATGGAAAATCCCACAATTCTCTCAACCAACGGCAATGGCAGAAGAAGCAGCGCTTCTAATTCACCTGAATTCGAGTTCTGGATGGTGAGAAACCCATCCTCCCAACAAACCACCCTCCATTCCGCCGACGAATTGTTCTCCGGCGGCATCCTCCTCCCCCTCCAGCGTCTCAACTCCCAAAACAACGACGACCCACCTGACAAAGAAGATATCGTGGTAGAACCCACAAACAAACCTTCAATTAGCCCTAATCCAGATAATATTCTCGGATCCGACCTCAAAATAAATATTTCTGCATCTAAACGATGGAAAGATATTTTCAAAAAAAACCCAGAAAATAAAGAGGAGAAGAAGAAGAAAGAACGAAACAGTGGTTCCAGCGTCGTTGGTGGTGGTGGAACAAGTACGGCGGAGTTGAATATAAATTTATGGCCGTTTTCGAGAAGCAGATCGGCCGGGAACAGTGGGAGTAGACCGCGAACGGTGGTCGTAAACCGGAAAGTTAGTAGCGCCCCTTGTTCAAGGAGCAACTCCACCGGCGATAAGTATCGGAAGTGGCCGAGCAGTCCCGGCAGGGGTGGGGTTCACTTGGGCCGGAATAGCCCAGTTTGTCAAGTCAAACGGTTGGGACAGAGCCGGAGCCTCCACGACACCCTTGTTCGTTCAACCGCCGAAAAAGTCTCCCGTCCGATCAAAAAGTCAGTCTCCGGTGGAGTTACCACCGGCGCCGGAGAAAGTCGTAAGGTGTTGAACCTTAATGTTCCGACATGTATTGGTTACCGGCAACGAATGGGTTGTCGGAGTGATGTGATTATAGATAACGACAGTGGACGGAACGCCGACGTAACGTCGGGAAGTGCCGGCGGTGAAGGTGGAGCTAGCAGTTTGTTTAATTTGAGGAGTCTATTTACAAAAAAAGTGTTTTGAGATTTGAATTTTGACTTTTTATTTTTTATATTTTATTTACTTTTTGATATTTTGTTATTGTTTTTTTCTTTTCCTAGTATCAATATGTGTAGAATATTAATTAAAAGTTGAAAGTAGCTTTTTCTAACCTGTAAAAATCTGTCTCTTTCCACTTTTTGGATAATATGTTAAAAAAAATTCAACTTTAACTAAATAAAATATTAACTCTTATTGGAATTCGTAAAACTTACAAAACTATTAAAAGTGATAGCCAATCTTTAATCGACCAGTCCAATACTTGTTCTATTTACAGCAAAAAATACTTGATTCTAGTTATAGAAAAAAATAAAGTTTGCCTACCGGTTAAAAGTTGAAACCATATTTACCATGCTACTATCCAATAATCACCTTAAAAACCTACAATATTTGGTCATTCATATAGTCGGCGACTAATTTTTAGACAAATTCGGTCAATTTTTTTAAAAAGTGCAATAAATCCAATTTCCCTTTCTTGTTAATGCATGATTGTCTTGCTTCTTGATTTCACCTAGTTTACATAATTACACTGCGTGACTAAATTATGCAGACAATTTCTTTTAAAACCATATTTGGCAAACCAATTTATAAGTTATCAATAAGTTATTTTATCGTCATATTTGACAAAAATAAACTAGCTTATTATAATTTAGTGTTTGGTAAAACAATAAAAATAGTTTATCGTATTCTATAAAATAGCTTATAAGTTAATTTAGATTATGTTTAGTGCGTCACAACAATCTGATAAACTAATTTATTTTTCAAGTTGTTTAAGTTGTAATGTTTGATAAGTAAAAAAGTAAGTCAGTTTTTTAAAAAACTACTTAAACTAGCTTTTTAAGACATTTTATTTTTTTTTCGAATATATCCTTAATTAATTATAAAAAATATATTATTGTGAATGCATTTTTATATCATTTTATATATTTCAGCTAGCTTTTACCAAACATCATTTTTTATCAGCTAGCTTTTATAAAACATTATTTTTTATCCGCTAGTTTATAAACTATCAGCTAGTTGATAAGCTATCAACTAGTTTATAAGCTAGTAACTAGTTTTTCAGCTGACAACTAGTTTTCCAACTATCAGGTAGCTTATAAACTAACATGTACCTTATAAGCTTGCAGCTAGCTTATAAGTTAGAAGCAAACTTATAAGCTAGTAGCTAGCTTTTCAGCTAATACGTCACATATAATTTTATTGATAACCTAGCTTAAAATAGATTATTGATAAACTAGCTTATAAGTTGGTTTGCCAAACAGTCCAAGCTAGCTTATTAATAAGTTAAATTATAAGTTACTTTATAAACTAGGATACATTACTTTTATGGTTTATCAAAACACTAAATTACAATAGATTGACATATTTTTGCCAAACATAACTTAAGAAGAGTAAGATGTCAATACTCGATAATATACTCCATATGAAGAAAAAAAATGAAACGAGTTATAATAATTAGGACTAAATATATTGTTTGATTTAATGTAATTTCACATAAACAAAAACAATGATTGCTCACTATGACGTTCTTTTCCTTTGTTTGCACATTCTATAGCTTTTAGTTGGCACATGTTGGAGATAATCTTAGTGACACAGTCGATTTCCCGTCTATAAAGACCTGATTGTCGATTTCTACTTTCCCGTACCACATTCTAATGAGATTTTGGGGTTTGCAATTGTTTTTGTTAATTTGATACATGGTGTGTTATGAGAAAACACTAGATGCAAATCCTAGTTGACTAAACAACTATTACCAAATCGTCACTTGTGCATCGATGTTACAACACCAATATAAATACATCACATCATGGTTGTAGTTTTTTTAAACATATTTATAATTCTCATAGTGAGACTTCAACTCATGATCTCTCCATTGAAAGAGTCACTCCTTACAGCTAGACCAAAAACCTTTGGTAGATTGGAACTTGTAAGATTCAAATTAATGAGTTATTAACTTTTTTTCTATGGTTAACTGTTCTAAGACCGGTGGATGTGGTTACTCACTTCACCATACTTTGGCATGCCACATTATTTTCTCACCTTCTCACTGATAAGAATAAGAAATGATCATCTCTCACTATCTCTTATTCCTATCATTTTTAATATTATATATATATAAATAATATATCAATATTATACTTTATTTGTAAGGAATTAAAATGATTTAAAAAGAAAAAAACATGCAGTAAGGATTTTTCACACAAAGATGGACACCGCGTAATACGGCCATTTCATCAACCCCACCGTGTCTGGTGATGGTGCTTCCTATAGTCTAAACATATTTTTTTTAATAATTACGTGAGCTTTGTAAAATACTTTTTGTTTTCATCAAAGGAGTCCAATCTAATATTGTGGCCCATCAATGGGATGACAAAGCCCACAAGAGCTGGAGACCCTCTAGAGACTAGAAATGGCAGTTGCTTGCATGACATGCCATGGTTGCTCTTGAGCTTCGTATAATTTACGCCCTCAAGACCTGTGATCACTCAAGGAATCGAGGGAGGTTGCCAAGTTTTCATGGCGTCAGTTCATCGTCTTGCTCGGACAATTCAGACGTGCCGTACAATCGCATTTCGTAAAACCCTAACCCCTTCAAATCCAGCTCATCGCCACCTCTCCTACCGTACGTCTCTCAATTTTCTTGTTTTTGTTTATAAAAATGATCTGTTTATAGTTCAATTTGGTTTCTTGCTGTCAATTTTCTATGGCGGTCTTTAATATCAGTTCAATTTTGTATGGCGGTTCTCAAAATTAGTTCATTTCATACGGCGGGTTGTGTTATCAGTTCACTTTTGTATGGAGGTTATCGACAACGGTTGATCCTACCGATATAACTCAGTACTCCCTGTGTTTCACAATTGGGATCATTACTGCTAGAATTAATAGTTTTGTTGTTAATTCTTGCTGGAGTTATCAGAATCAACTCTTCTACCACTTCTATAACTAACTGAATCTTATTGCAAGTTTGAAATTGTAACATCCATCGAACATCTGTGAGATAATGACATGCTTCTTACTGGCTCATAATTGCCACCTGCAGGTACTTTCAACCAGAACAGCCACTCTTTCCATGATAGTTCTTGGAGGTCAACAAATGCTCCTGGATTAAATTATCTTCCTGCAATGCTAGCTGGAATATTTGGGCTTGGCCTAGTAGATGTAGCCTATGCAGATGCACCTGAGGTTTGTGTCAAATTCTCATGTTTGATCATATCCTAGTAGAGCAAGTGTGGCTATATGTATTATACATGTTAAAATTCATCATTTAGGGCCCTTTCAATCCATTTATCAAGATCTGGTTATGTACAGGGTGAGGCTAAAACACCTTTACCACCTGAATCACCACCACCAACACATGTTGATATGGAAGCAATTGCCAAAAAAGAAAGAACTCGATTAGAAGAGTTGCTTAAAACCAAAGGAATGCAATACGGTTCTTACCCTCGGTTTACTGTTGCTGTGAAGGGCAAAAAGGTCATTCGGTTGCTTTCTTTCTCCAATCCACTCAATCAACATTGATGTTAACGTGATTGTTACATTTCCAATTAAATCATATCGCAGGTTACAATCAAGTTCCAAATTCCTCCTACTTGTGAAATTTCACTTTTGATTTCAAACATTGTTGCAAATCTTGGTGTCAAAGTTGAAGAACGAGCTACAGGTTCAGACATGAATTTACGTGCTTGGGATAGGTAAGAAATAACAAAGTACTTTCTACTAAGTTATATATACCCACAAATTATAATTTTTAAATTTTTTTTTTTTTTTTGTGTTGTATTACAGTGGTGTTGCTTGGCAGTTAACACTCAATCGCCCAGTGGATAAGAGCAGTTCTGATGCAAATCCAAATGATGAGGATCTTTGCATTCTGATGTTCCGATCACTCATTAGTTCTGATAAACCGGTTTTTATCCCCAATTCTTTGAAGTTTATATTTCTTTAAATTTTATGCTAGGGTTTTACTTTATATTGTTTAACGTAGTATTTGGTATGCAATAATCGGAAAGGGAATGGAATGGACTGATCTATTCCATTACCTTGCTGATTCCATTCCATGATACCAAACAGACACCCCAAGTGTGCATAAACCATGATTACCTTATCAAAACTTTCTCTCTCTAGATATTTCCTAACAATATATATATATATATATATATATATATATATATATATATGTAACAAATAGGAAATGGAGTTTATAAAGCAAGGGAGCTTTACACCTGAGGAGCTTGATGCTCTAGTATCTGTGTTGAAATTGGCGGGAACAGGACAAAATAGGAGTATGGATAGAAGAGGAGATAATGCACTTAACTCATCCTTGGATAAATCTGTTAGCAGTTTAGAGGGCATGGGTGTCAAGATTTATGGACTTAAGGAGCCTAAATTAGAACACTCAAAATCTGAAGAAATATCATGGGAAAACATTGCTGGATATAGTCAACAGAAAAGGTATGAATATGAATATGAATATGAATATGAATATGTTATTATGTTGATTTTTTGGTAAAATATATCTGTTGACTTCCAAGATTTATAAATATTGATTTATTTATGTGTAGAGATATAGAAGATACAATACTACTAGCTCTTCAGAGTCCCGAGGTTTATGATGAAATTGCTCGTGGGACCCGCTGCAAATTTGAGACAAATAGACCCCGTGCAGTACTCTTTGAAGGCCCACCAGGTTTGTTTTTTTTATCCTCATAACTTATAAAATTTTTCTTGGAACTTTTAAAAGTATTACAAAATTTGTTCCCTTTTTATATTATTGGTTTAATATCAGGTACTGGGAAGACATCCTGTGCTCGTGTTATAGCCAATGAAGCGGTAATTTATTTCAGTTTTTTTTGTTTTTAATTTTTTTTTAAATATTTTTACTAAAATGATCACTTTTTTTCTGTTATGAAGGGCGCCCCATTGTTATATGTGCCATTGGAGGTGATCATGTCAAAATATTTTGGTGAAAGTGAGAAGATTGTTAGGGAAAGTATTTTCACTCGCCAATGAAATTCCAAATGGTGCAATTATATTCCTTGACGAGGTATTTCTGCAAATAAAATAAATAAATAAACAAAATCTCAATTTCTGTCACCACCATTTTTTTTTTCATTTTTGTTTGTATTTTACTTGATTATAAACAGGTTGATTCCTTTGCTACTGCTCGTGATAGTGAAACTCATGAAGCTACTCGTAGAATCTTGTCAGTCATTTTACGCCAGGTAAGACATGACATGACATAACAAGTTGTACTGTGTACTATGTAATGAGTACTGACTTTGATTACTTTTGTTTTGCAGATTGATGGATTTGAGCAGGATAAAAAAGTAGTGGTGATAGCTGCAACCAACAGAAAGCAAGATCTTGATCCTGCTTTATTAAGGTTTATTATATTTTCTTGTATATAAATGAATTTTAATCATTTTTTAACTAAAAATTCATTCTAACATGTGGTCAACTCTTTTTCTCAGTCGGTTTGACTCAATGATTACATTTGGTCTACCTGATCAGCAAACTCGCCAGGAAATAGCAGCTCAATACGCAAAACATTTAGCAAAAACCGAGTTATCTGAATTAGCTGCAGCCACTGAAGAGTATATTAATATTAATATTATTAATTATTAATCATTTATAATTCAAAATTTCTTAATTATTATTATTATTATATCATTGTACTTTTCGATTAAATTTTTTTTTTATTTACAATTCAGAATGTCTGGACGCGATATTCGAGACGTGTGTCAGCAGGCAGAGAGGCGATGGGCATCAAAGGTATAGCAACATAATTTCATTTATCTGTGTATTATTATAATTTATAGCATCCTACTTTCATTTCATTATATTACACCATTGTATTTTGAAGAAAAGAAAGATGAAGAAATGAAAGTACATTGCTATTTGTTGTTATATAGGTTATACGGGGGCAAGCACAGAAAAATGAAGATGGTGCTTCTCTTCCACCACTGCAAGAGTACATTGAGAGTGCTTCAGAACGACATAAGGTTTTACTTGCAGCTGCAACTGACAAACAAGACCATAACTTTTCACCCAAAAAGAAGCCTCAGTATGATTTCCTTTGAGGTTTTTATATGTTTTTCAAGGTGAAATTGCAAAGTTTTTAATCTTAAGTTGATGGTTATTATATGTAAATATATATAATACACATTTTGAAGTTTAATACCAAATAGGCAAATAGCCATTAGACTTTATATTGAAGCTATTTCTACTATTGTTTTATTGTGTAATGAATGTCTTTCATTGAGAAAAAGACAACTCACCACTATAACCAACCTTTCTTTTACTTCCACAACAAGAAGCAATTTCTCACAATGAGAGATCATTTTTATTTATTTATTGTTTTTTGTATGGTCACCACCAAAAAATTAATATTAGAAAACTAAATTATTTTGATATGCTGTGAAATTGTTCATATCTTAAGAATAAAATAACATGAAAGTTGGTTTAACCATTATATTTTAGTTTCATAAGTGAACAATTTGATTTTTTTTTCTCTGTTGACCTCTTTGACTTGCTTTGACATGCTATAACAGATTTTAAAATGGTCACGATGGAAAACTTTGAATTTAGTGGAATGCTTGGTGTCAAAGTTTAATGTCAAGATTTCCAGTAAAGCTACTAAACTTTGATAAAATTTGCTATGTTGACCACTTTAACTTGTTATAGTAGGATCAATATAGAAAAAAGTTGTAAAACTTGAGTTAATTTTATTGACGAGACTGAAGTATAATGATAAAAGAAGCTTTTATTGTGATTTGTTTTTTTTTTAATTATTTATTTTTTCAACGTTTGCTATGAAATTGTTCATATTATTGCAAATATCTTTAATTCTTTTTCTTTTGTAGATTTTGTTATTGTGGAATCTTCAAAACCAATTTCGAAGAAGCTTCGTAGTGCGAAAATAAAGTGTTAGGTTTGGAGAGATTTTCTAAAAAAAATAAGGTAAAACCAAGGGAAAATTAAAACATGGTTTAAAGTTATCAAACAATGTGGTAACGTGACTAGATTTGTGATTTTTTTTATATGCTTCATTTTTCTCATAAAAACTAGTTATAGTTAACCTCAGACGATTTTAGGCAGATGAATAGACGATGTTAAAACAAAAGAATTTAGGGCATACAGTTGGAATTTTTAGTTTGGTTTATTAATTAAGAATAAAAACTTCTTTTTTTGATGGGACACAAAATATAAAATGAAATTAAAATGTTGCATGTACATGTACATGCATGTGATGAGATGCAACAACACTTGGGTTTCACTTTCACATGCCTAAATTGAATTGAAGTAAGCTTAGCAGCATTGCTCCTTCCCTGCATATAACAAAAATTTCTTAATGATTTTATGTGTTGATCAATCAAGAATTTAATAAGAATGAACATTTAAGAAACTCATGGATCGATGCTAAAAGTTATTAAGTTGTTAAACTCAAGTATGTGCTTAACAATGACAAATTAGATAACATTAGATGCAATTAATAATAAATTAGTAATTTGTTCTAAAAAACTTTTGAAAAAAGTTGATTATTGAAATAATACATTTTTAGTAAATAAAAATAGTAGAATGGTGACCTTGAACAATTTAAAAGTCTAATTTTTTTAAATAAAATGATGACATGACAAAAGTAAAAGATTTAAAAGGATTTTTTCAATTATTTTACCTATATTTTGGTAAGAAATCAAAATTGGTATTGATTGCATATATTTGGTATAATAATACTAATAAACAACTAATGTAATCTAAATACACGGTGAAGTTTGTTAATGGAGATATTAAAGGGTTTCACCTTTGAACGGAGCCCGGCGAGTCACCGCCGTCTTCTTCACCCCGCTTCCTTTTCCGATCACTCGTTCGTGAACATAAAAACGACGTGATCTGCAACTGAGTCTTCAACAACATCTCTGTCAACTCCGTTTCCCTCTCCAATCTCCGATTCTCCGCCTCAATCCTCGCCGCCTCCCTTACCTTCATCATCTCCAATTCCGCCACTTCCCGCCTCATCATACTCTCAGCAAGATCGCGTAAACTCGCCGCCACACTCCACCGCGACGATCCGGAGCTTTCGGAACTCCATCCTTCATCGTCGGAGGTGAATTCAACGTCGACGACTGCCTGGTTTACTCGACGGTAGCGATCTACGTCGTCGTTGCTGGAGCTCAGGTTCGAATTTGATTTATCTGCCATAATCGTGAATTCTAAATTTGGAATGATTGATCAATTTTTGGATAAAAATGATGCAAAAAAAGTGGAATGATTGATCGGATTCCACTAACTACAAAATTCGATTACATACTTTACTTTTATCAGTTTCAATAAATTCTATCTTTAATTAAAGAGGAATCATTTCTTGAACAATGTGTTCATTTAGTTTTAATCGATTGGATCTGAGTTCATTAATCTGATTGAACTACATGAAATTAGTGTTATCTCAAATTCGAAGAGAAAGTGGTTTGATTTGGAAAATGTAGGAGGATCCTCCTTGACAAAACACAAAAGTTAATTAGTAGCATTTTTTATATTTCTAACGTAATCTTCTCAACCACCATACTTGTTCGCAAGGATTTCGTGAACCTTATTTATTATTGTAAATTGGAGCATTACATTATGCTTAACAGATTTCAAACGAGTTTAAGTTATTTGTTGATTAATGTAACATGTGTTTTAACATTTAATTGCATTTAATAAAATTAAGATCCAAATATGTATAGTGATTGTAAGAAAAGAGAGGTAAAAACACTTGGAAATTCAGAGAATCGTGTATAACCAATGTTTTAAAACCCGGGTTGACCTGGCCGGTTCAACCGGTTGGATCATGACCCGGGGTAGAAGACAGGTCAATTGAGAACAGTTTTTTGTAAAAATACAGACCGGATCGAACCGGCCGAGTTTCCCCTAAACCGCGGTCGAACCGGTTAAAACCGGATTGACCTGTTTTAATAGGGCTTGGATACAGTAGTGAACGCCAAAACTATGTTTTGTTTTGTTATTTGTACTCTATGTGGTTGTTTATTGTGTTTAGATTTATCTATACCATGTTTTGATATGTTTTTCAATGTCTAAACTTTATGGACATCAAATTATTGGTTTTATATATCTATGTATTATGCTAGAAAGTAAAAATATATGAAAATAGAAAAAGACCATAAACCGGGTTGACCCGACGGTTCAACCGGTTGACCCGTGAACTGGTCATCACACCGGGTCAACTAAAAACCCGAGTTTTAAAACATTGTGTATAACACTTTCAGATTAAAGTATTGGTGGTACTCCCAATCTTTAATCGGATAAGACTCAGAAATGAGAGAAAACAGAAGAAAATGTTAAAGATGTTATGAAGAAGAAAAGTACCAAAACTCATTCCGAAATGATCATATAACAAGAAAAACTTCATGTCTTAAAACTGCCACATGACAATTTTATGTCCTGAAACTGTCCAAAAAACTGTCATAAACCAACTTAAATCCGGGTCTAGAATATGGATCACAAAACTGGGTGCATTTACCGAAAATTCGGGTCTTAAAACTGTCACATGACAGCTCGATCCCGTCAGGGGCTGCCGCCCCTTAGACCCCGCTCTCAGGGGCGCTTCCCTCGGACCCCCGTTGGTTCAGGGGCTACGCTCTTAAATAGCAGTATACTTTAAACAAATATGCACTCCACACCATACCGATTTGTTCAATATTTGTCAAAGTGACATTGATCAACAAATTAATCTCATTACACTTAAATAATATTAGTGATATAAAATCACCAACAATGATAAGATGTGGGACTTAATAGCAAAAAATGTTATATTGGTAAAATGTTATTGTAGCACACTGAAGTTTCGACAAGCTTAGTTACAGTGTTCACACAGAGAATGTGAGTTTTCCGAAGAAGTTCTCGGTGAAGATGGAAATACCAAATTTGGTATCGAAGGTAGAAACACAATTATGGTTTTGATTTACTATAGTCGAAGCTCGATGAGCTTCAAAAACTATGGTGCTGTTTGTTTTTTCAGAAAAACCATTTTTTGACCACTTCTTGCTGTGCCGCGCAACACACGTGCAACACTTGATATTTCGAGGCTGTTTAAAAACCGTTTACATAAATTCAAATAATTTAAAAACCGTTTGGTAAATTTCATATAAATATTGTTTGTGTTATATTGTCTATAACCAAATATTAATAAATTATAAAAGTAATCATTAAAATTACCAAATTTATTGAAGTTTACCGGAAAAATAATCATCGTCTTCAAAATTTTAACAAAAATGAACATGTTTTTAGCTAAATTAACAATTTTATTTTATTGTTATTTAGCAAATATTATGTTTAATTCTTTTATATAATCATCTTTAAAAATCATATCATCACAATGATCTTTATATTTGATTTGCATATGATTAAACTAAATAATCTTTTACTTAGATTTAGTTTTAACTATTGTATAGTTAATTTCAGTTTATTGCAGCAGTCTGCAGAAGTTAAAAAGCAAACAGACTTCTTATTACAAGTTGCAGCCGTTTGGTCCACCTCTATTATTGCAGAAGGTTGCTGATGTGGTCCGCAGACTTCAGTCGTTTTCGTTTCGAAAAAACAAACAACACCTATATGTTTCTATCTTGGGGAACAATTTAAATTTGTGTTTGGCCTTTTGTCAACTTCTCTGTAAATACATCTCAAGAATGTAACTCTAATACATGATATACATACGCAAGTGTGAGAAAGTGCATGAGTGTGTGATAAACAGTTATTATGTCGCCATTGTATATAGCACTTGGAACTCAAAAAAAGAGTCTTCCTAGTTTGCTTGTTGACATAGTTTGATAGAACATCAAGTGCACCACTTAATTCCTTGTGTGTTTGTTACTTTCTTGTATTATATTATCGTGTTTATTTGTCAAGTGTGCATTTAATCGTTGATTACTAATATTTAACAACTAGTATCAAAGTTATGATCGAAGATAGGAAGATTATCTCATGAGGCATTCAAAAAGTCCATTTAATTCACAAAGTGAATTTTTCCAATAAAAAAGACGAACTCTTTATAGTTGTACTTCACAATGAGGTTTCTTTAAAATATTAGGATGTGTTTTTCCTTGTTACAAACAATATGCCGATATTATCGAAATAAGAAGTCGACGATTAAGACTATGATATGCCAATTCTTCTAAACAATGTATAAATATATTAGGTTTAAGATGTTCAAGTAAACCTAATTCAGTTTCAATGTGTTAGTTGTTGATGTTGTTCAAATACCTTTTAGGCTAAGTAGTTTGGTCACTGCATTTCCACTAGAAACATGTTGTCACATCTGTGTCACGTCATCTTCGGTCCATGTTCATTATCACACTACTATCTCTTGAAATGGTTACCACTCCACATTATTTATCTTTTTATTTTTTATTTTTTTAATATACAAACATATACATTCAATGGCTAGGTTTTTGACCGTTTGGAAAGGATGAATTCTATTGGGCCTAATCAAGCGTAGCAAACTCCACTCCACACACACCTACTCGCCTCGCCCTTGGGACGGTGTTCACTAGCGAACATGTCCACCACATCAGCATTTCACGCATGGGAATCCTCCCATACTCCAAAGCCTTAGGATGGTGGGTGTGATACCTCATTTTACAACATATTTAACATGTCACGTCAATGCCACATCATTTTCCCTCACCTTAATTTGACAAAAAAAAACTGATAGAAAATAGTCTTACTACAATACCTCTAACTCCTCTTACTTTCCTTATTTTTAAAAAATGAAAATATATATGTAAATAATATATCAATATTATATTTTATATATAGGTAATTAAATACCATAAATTTTGATTTTCTTTTGATAAATTTTTGATATATATATATATATATATATATATATATATATATATATATATATATATATATATATATATAAAGACACACACAACTTAATAATAAATTAAACAATGTAAAAGAAAAAAAACAGCCACGAAAAAGATATCTCAAACACTGGACTTCACCGTACACCAGTGCGTATGGTGTTCACCACACACCACACCTGGTCATCTGTCACATAAGCGTATCATACAGTGCGGTAGGTGCATATCATCAAGTCTTATTAATTGTTTTAAGTCATCTATTATATAGTTGTCCAGCGGTAAGGATATCTGACTTTCACCCAGGAGACCCGGGTTCGATTGCGGGGAGTGTTAGCGGGAATGGAAAAGGTATTCATCCCATGATCTTCAACAATGTTTGCCCGCTTATAAAGGAGAGTAGAGAAGGCTTTCTGTGGCTCAATCGTCAAGAACATAACTTCACGTTTTTCTAGAATACCAAATGATCGTGCAAGACGAGTGATCAACATGCCACCATAAAGAGGAGATCCACGTCTATCTTTGCCCGCCCGAACATATATATATATATATATATATATATATATATATATATAGGAGTAGGATAAAATGAGAACACCTAAAAGATTGAGAACACGAGAACAGATCTTGACCATTTAAATATTTAGATTTAAGGTTATTATTAAATGAGCGATTTATGAAAAATTCTAAAACTACTGGCATTAAAGTGTAACTTTTAAATGGCCAAAAGGGCATAATAGGAATTGTAAATTTACCTATTTCCTATAATTTCTCACCCTCTCTCCTCACTCTCTCTAGGGTTTCATGTTTTTAACATGTTATACAAACTTTATTTATGTCATTTTACTTCCTAGTGCATTATTGATGACTTAAACCATTTTTCCCGAATTCTTATTATGATTTTAGTTTTAATTTGGATTGTAGTCATTGTACAAACCCTAAAATATAAGTACCCTCGATATTATCTTAATGTATTATTATTATTATATAAAAGGAACTCAAAATTAACATCTTCACAAAATATGCCACAACATGTTTTCTGTTTTTTTTTTTTTTTTTCAAATGGATTTTGACCACTGCTTTAAAGCTAAATTTCATAAAATCGTTGTTTTTTTCTTCGGTTTAACATCGAAATATTTTCTTTTATGGTTTAACAAATAAGAGAGTGTTTTTTTAATGACTATCATAATCGGGGTATCATAGGTTTTGCCAAGATTTACAAGTGATTTGACTTTTTTCTTAAATAAAAATATTTAATTATGTGGAATTTGTAATTACTTATGTGGAAATCAAATAGAAAATAAATATTATTATAATGATCCTTATATCATGATATAAAAGAAAATGAAAGACTCGGGTAACAATCGATTTACCTTATAGTTTTTTTAGG